GCCCACTTTGCGTCCGAAGAAGTGGGCTGTAGTCCACGAAAGCTTATGCTCTAATAAATCTGTTAGTCTCTAAGGTGCCACAAGTACTCCTGTTCTATTTACACCAAAAACATTAATTCCGCGGTAATTTGACTTTCCTGAATGAATGATGTAGGGTTGGGTCTTTGTCATCCATGATGCCTTACCTTTGGCCATGACACTTTGCTATGTTGCTGATGATACCACTCCTAACCGTAACCAATTTCCTTCCCCATGCTATAGAAAATACAATGTTACCACAGGTTCCTTTTTTCTCCCCCAAGTCTACAAACAGTATATATTCCATGAAAAAGAAAAAAAAACTGTACAAAAGAATTCACCATGACATCCTGCAAAGGGTCAGTCTAGGAGAATATGTCCAACAGCTTGGCATGGAGATCCTAAAGGAACCAGGGATAACCACTCTTTCTGTTTCTCTTCAGCCAATAAAACATTAAGGCGTAGCTTTTCAGTGTAATATGCAGAAAGTATCAGAGACTTGAACTCCCATTAACAATATGGGAGCTGCGCTTATCTCACTGTACTCCAAGTGGAAAATATAACCCCCGAATTTCTGCTGCATTTTGTTTAGAAACAAAACATTTTGGTCAGCTCATACTAAAGGCTCCATTCTCCCCTCTGTACCTGGGTGGGATTCATATTTCCAGGAGGCATCAGATCATGTTATATCTATTACACTGGAGTTATTTTTAGGAGTATAAAAAACCATACAGAATATTTTAATATAGTGGAATTGAAGAATGGCATACTTAATTTTCTACTCACTGACACAGGTGTAAATCAAGAGACTGGCAGAACTTGAGATTCAGGCTCAATGGCAGAATGTAACCGCATCAAATCTGAACTAATTTTGTCATTCTAATTGCAACATTTATCTGCTCCCAAAAAGCCTGACTCTATGGGTACGTCTATACTTACCTCGGGGTCCGGCGGCAAGCAATCGATCTTCTGGGATCGATCCCGGAAGTGCTTGCGGTCGACGCCGGTATTCCTGCTCCGCAAGAGGAGTACGCGGAGTCGATGGGGGAGCCTGCCTGCCGCGTGTAGACCTGCAGTAAGTTCAAACTAAGATAGTTCAACTTCAGCTATGTGAATAACGTAGCTGAAGTTGCGTATCTTAGTTCGAAGTGGGGGGTTAGTGTGGACCAGCCCTATTATGCTGATCTGAAGATGGTTCCAAGAAACCAGCAACATCAGAAGCAGCTATGGCTCATTGACTCTTCAGAACAGACACAGCACTTGTTTGACATTACACAGGGACATGCTGCTGACAATTTACCAAGGAGCTCTGTAAGCAGTTGCACTCACTGCCGTAGCACCCACGGGGGTCAGAGCATGGCACTGCAGCAGTGGCGGATTAATAATTTTACCGCCCCCTAGGCCGAGAAATAATTGCCGCCCTGGCCCCGCCCCGACTCCGCCCCTTTCCTGCCCCCATTCCAACCCCCTCCTCAAAGTCCCCACCCCAACTCTGCCCCCTCCCTTCCCCTATTGGATCCCTTCCCCCAAATCCCCGCCCCCCCCCGGCCCCGCCTCTTCCCCCAGCGCGCGCCCCTCCTCCCCCCTCCCTCCCTGCCCTGTGAACAGCTGTTTCGTGGTGCAAGCGCTGGGAGGGGAGAGAAACAGGACACGGTGGCATG